GTTTTCATTTATTCATGAAATATTTACTAAGCACCCAGTTCCTTTGCCCGGGAGCACATAGCCTGGCAGCTTAGCTAAGTACCGCTGTGGGAAGTGCTGTGAAGGTGAAGTGTGTGTCACTGGGAGACTGAATCTAGCTGGGGTCTGTGGGAGTGTCCCCAAGGGGGTGACCTGGAAGGTGAGAGGGGAGAATGTGGGTGAAGGTGCTCAACAGATGGGAGCAAAGAGGTCAGTATGGAGGAAGTGTGGAGAGCGGCAGAGGAGCTGGAGACATAGGCAGGCCTTATCGGCCAGGGTAAGGTTCTAGACTTTTCTCTAGGAGCATTGAGGAACCACTGAAGTGTATCCAGCAGAGGGCCTGATTACTCTTCTTTTGGTAAACAGTCTCTCTGGCTGCAGCATGGAAAATGTGCTGGTGATGGAGTCAGAGACCGTGGCTTGATGGCTGGGCAGTGGGGGTGGGTGGGACATGGATAGGACCCAGGGTGGACAGGGGCCAGCTACTCCCAGGGGTTTGCAGCACAGCATTTGGGGAGGAGTTCCCGAGGCCCAGCGGTTCCCTTGTTTGCTCTAGACCAGACGGGCAGTTTTCTGCCTGGAGTGATCAGTGTCTACAGTTCTTACTGATGACGCTGATTAGTTTTCACATGTCCCACTTTGGCAAAACTTAATTGTTCTTAACAGAGAATTTTATTCTTGAGGTATGTATTCTCAATTCACAGCACTACCCAGAGCAATACAAGTGTCCACGCTTGGGCCACCCTGTCCCCGGGTTCCCATCGGCCTAGAAGCCTTGCGAAGGGCTTCTCTCCCATGGAGTTGGGTGTGGACTGACGCCATCCTCCCTGTGCAGGTGTCTGACAACTCGGTGGCTATTGTGCCAGCCCAGTACATCTGTGCCCCTGACAGCAAGCACACCTTCCTGGCAGCCCCCGCCCAGCTCCTGCTTGAGAAGTTCCTCCAGCACCACAGCCACCGCTTCTTCCCGCTGTCCCTGAAGAACCACAGCCACCCTGTGCTCTCTGTGGACTGTTACCTTAACCTGGGGTCTCAGGTGACTTTCCGAGGGGCCCCTGTCGAGTCTGTAAGTCAGAGAAATCCCCAGAATAGATGCACTAGAATCCAGGACTCTGAATCATAACTACTTGACTACTTGGTCTCAGGTGTTCACCCCACTTTACAGCTGGTAACGTTAAGGCTGAGATGAAAGGGTTTGCCCAGATATAAGAAGTTAGAAATCAAACGCAATTCCGATGTCAAATATTTCTGATTTTCAAATGACTTCATGAGTATGTAAATCTGGAGAAGTCTTCTGGAATTGATTTTTAGGATATAGATTTAAAAATAACATGAAAGTATTGTTTCTGGCTCCCCCAACATCTTAAGCCTGACCAAGCAGTTAGTATTTATTCTGTGCAAACCCCTAGATAATGCTATTGAGTATTTTGTGGAAAACTGTTTTCTCTTGGACCCCTTCTTTTTCAGATTTCTGTTTGTTATGTGAGCTCCAGGCCCCACTCCCTGAACATCAGCTGCTCTGACTTGGTGTTTAGTGGACTCCTGCTGTACCTCTGTGACTCTTTTGTGGGAGCTAGCTTTTTGAAACAGTTCCATTTTCTGAAAGGTAACTTACTGTAGTCTTTTGACTTGAATGGCTGTTGTTACCTGGTGTCTCTGAGGAGGTGACCTCTGGTCCTAGTCCTTCTTTGCCAATGGGTAAACTGAGGCTCAGAGAGTGAAAGCGACTGCCCTGGCCACCCAGGAAGGTATAAGAGAGCTGGACTGGATCCCAGGACAGCTCTCTTTCCCCTAGCTCAGTTTGGATAGAGACAAGATGTGTCTCCCTCTTTTTTTAAAAATGCACAGCAAATATTAACTTTTACGTTCCCTGTCAAACCAAATCCTTCCCATCTGTGCCCAGGTCGCCTCAATGTGGCTTTCCCTCCTCATCGTCTCAGGAGGTGCCGCACGCTCCTTTAATGCACAGCAAATATTAACTTTTACGTTCCCTGTCAAACCAAATCCTTCCCATCTGCTCCCAGGTCGCCTCAATGTGGCTTTCCCTCCTCATCGTCTCAGGAGGTGCCGCACGCTCCTTTGCTTTACTCTGATCTCTGTCCATCTCGTGCCACAGTGGTTGAGAAGGACAAATGCTTGTTCTACACGACTTAAAAAAGTGACTTCCAATCTGTTTTCCGTCCTGCTCAGATTTCTAACTGACCTTCTCTTTTCCTTGGTGGTTCTTTACTCCGACCTTCCTCTCTGGCAGGTGTTTAATGAGCACCAGCAGTGTGTAAGGCCTTGGGAAATACTGTGAGGTTTCTTCAGCAGTCTGTGCCCTCAGGAAACATTTCGTCTACAGGGAGGATTGGACACGTGGGTAGGTAGGGAGAGAGGATCTGGAGAACAGCTGGCCGACATGTCCCTGTGTGCCAGGAGTGGAGAGGATGGGGATCCCCCTGGCTGAGTTCACGGGGGAAGTGGCGACAGCACCTGGCCTGGGTGGGCAAAGGAGGGGGACTGAGCCATGGGGCTGGGGTAGGGCAGGGGGAGGTGAACCCAGGGCTGGAGCTCAGAATGCAGGATTTGCCATCACACCCGTCTCTCCCATTCCAGTCCGCCTCCTCTGTTCCGTTCTTTTTCAACCTTTCTTCTGCCTCCAAGTTGTCTCCCCCACCAAGCCTGCCAGATCCCCGGAGCACTGTCCACCTTGCTAAGATCACAGATCATTCCAGAAAAAGTAAAAGGTCACCTTGTACAGCTGGACCTTCCCTTCGAAGCAGCGTCCTGTTTTGTTCCTGCGGTGCATCCAGGCGGTAGCTCTCCTTGGGATAAACTCACCTGTTTGCTTCTCTTGCCTCCACCACTGTTGTCCCATAGGTGCGACCCTGTGCGTGATCTGTCAGGACCGGAACTCGCTCCGCCAGACCGTCGTCCGCCTGGAGCTGGAGGACGAGTGGCAGTTCCGGCTGCGTGACGAGTTCCAGACTGCCAATGCCAGGGAAGACCGGCCGCTCTTTCTCCTGACGGGGCGACACGTCTGAGGGAGGTGGCAGAGGACTTGCTGGGAGGGCGGAGTGCTCAGAGCCCTCGTGCTGTGGCAGCTGAAGGAAGCCCCAGGACCACGGGCGTTTGAACTGGAACAGACCCCAGAGACTGTCACCTCTGCAACCACCTCGTGGTATGTGTCAGGGCACCGAGGCCCAAAGGCTGATGGTGACTGAGTGCCACGATGGGAGTCGTGAGCAGGAAAGAAAACCCAGGGCTCCTGGGCAAGACCACGTTGCGCTGGGCTATTTTGAAGTCCATTTCATGAAGAACAAAGCTTTGTGTTCTATCGTGCCATTCACGTGCTTCCAGGGACAAACTTGACTTTTCTCTTAGTTCCAAAAAATCTTGGATTATCTCATAGAGGTGCCAGCATTTCAGGCAGTGGATGTGATTTCAGCTAAGTAGGTTTCCTTGTAACTTCCTACAAAGCAATATTCCAAAGGGACATTGTAATGGAAATGGCTGGAGACAAGAAAAAATGAGAAGTAGATTATCTTAGTAAGAATTATTTAATTGCCTACAAGTTTGCTCTTTTAGAAACTAGCCCCAAAGGCATCAAATTTAATAAAGTAGAACAAATTGTTTTACTTCAGAGCAAATATGATTCTATTAAAATGGCCTAGGGTAAATACCCTACCTCGTAGAAAGAGCAAAGGTGAAAAGAAGCTCTCTTTTTAGGGAGGAAATTAGGGTTACAGAAGTTGACTTCAAATTTGCCTTACAAAGGAAAGAGGACAAAATTACTTATTTGAAGCAAACAATACAGACAACCAAAGTGATATATAAAATGGTTGATAAGAACAAGGCTTATGACTGTAATCTAACGAAGCTTGGTTTTTAGTTTCTTAAATAGCTTGCGTTCTTTTATTGATGCTCTGTTCCTCCCGGGGGGTCTCGCCTGACCAGAGACGGAGGGCGGGAGGAGGGGAAGCGGGCATCCCATCGTGCTCTGGCTTCCGCAGCCTGCAGAGCGTGCTTGCACTGGCACCGCAGAGCGCCTCTGGGTACCTCGTGCAGCCCTTCCACAGCCTCGTGTGAGTGGAGTTATTCTTCCCACGTGAGAGATCAGAAGATTGAGATGCAGACTGTCCCTCACCAAGGGCACACGGTGGAAAGAACTGGAAGCACAATTCAGACTCCTGGTTTCTGGATTCCATGTCCAGGTTCTGCGCCCCCCGCCCCCGGCCACTTTTGAAGTGGCCCATACCTGAAGGAAAAGTTTAAGGACAGTAATCAATCATCAGAAGGCATTCTTATACATCTATCTTAGACATTTATAAGCACTCTAATGGATAACAATCCAAAAAGGAACTATTTTAAAAGATGATGCCAAAGAGTTAATGTCGATCTTTTTTTTTTTCCCCCTAAGAAGAAAAGTCCACGAATATAAAAGATTTAGATCAGTGTTTATAAAGTGATCCCCTTGTATATGTCATTACTCCTATTTTGGAATAAAAACTGACCTTCTTTAGTTATACTTGTCTTTTGTAAATAGCAGCTTCTGTGTCATTCTTCCCACTTTATTAGTTAATTTAAACTTAAAAAACCAAAGAACCCAGACTAATATTCTTGTCTGTTCCAGTCTTTTAAATAAAACTTACAATGCATTTATTATTTCTTTGGGTATTGTTTTGAGAGAAAATAGTGTGGCCAATAATCTCCATTTTATTAGTTAATTTAAACTTAAAAAACCAAAGAACCCAGACTAATATTCTTGTCTGTTCCAGTCTTTTAAATAAAACTTATAATGCATTTATTATTTCTTTGGGTATTGTTTTGAGAGAAAATAGTGTGGCCAATAATCTCCAAAGGTTAAGTGCTTAAAATCTCATGGTAAGAAAGAATAGAAAGTTTGGAGAAGGAAATAAGAAGCCGTAAAGGTGATGTATACTCACATGTTGAGGAATTCTGAAAGAGAAAAGGCAAAAATCAGATGTGCAGAAACACAAATATGGAGGAAATCATAGCTTAAAATGTTCAGAGAAGNAAAATCAGATGTGCAGAAACACAAATATGGAGGAAATCATAGCTTAAAATGTTCAGAGAAGCCTGCCATGAAGGAAGGATGGTTTGGGGGCTCTCTGAGCTTCAGAGTGGCTAAGGAAGGCAGAAGGCGACCTGAGTCATTTGTCATGATGATTAACGGGAAGTGATTTGGAGCAGCTGGGCTTTTCCATTCCTCACAGCTCTTGCTGCCACAATCTCCATGTCCACCAACCTGGGCTAAGCATCTGGCCATGGCCAAGGCTAAAGCAGAATGTGGGACCCCAAGCAGGAGTAGGACATGGGGGAGCCACACTTTCGTCAAGACAAGCTACTGGTATTGCCCTCTCCACAGCACATCCTGTTCCCCCTCATCACTTGAGGCAGTTTATAGCAAACAGAATAAGCCCCAAACAGGAACTCCCTGGTACAGAAAACAAGCAACTAAGACTCAGAAAAAAACATAGGAAACACTATACAGTGAAAGAAAGCTGGTAACCTCACCTCAATGAAGAGTCAAAAAAAGCAAACAATCCTCTGAAGCAAGTGTAATTAAAAAAGAAGTGAGATTATAATATATCCAGAAACTCAAAAAATCAGATATAGATCTTGGAAATTAAAAACCTCAATAGGCAGGTGAACTAGCCAGACAGACAAGCTGAAGAGTAGCATGGAGAGCTGGAAGGTGCAGCAGACGAGATCTGTAAGACTGCAGCAGAAAGGTACGTTCGTGATCTGTGCTAACCCTAACTTCTGCTCACTGCGCTCTGGCTCCCTGGGCCATCTGGGCCCCTCGAACCCTGGCAGGCAGGTGCCCGCCTCAGGTCTTGCTCTTTCCTCTGCTAGGAGTGCTCTGCCCTCCCACATCCCTTGGGCCCCTCCCTCACTTCTGTTGGGCCTTTGCTACTGAAAGGTCCACCTCCTCAATGAGGCCATCCCAGCTTGGGTATCTCCTAACACAGAACATGTTTTTACTTATTTAGGTGTTTGGTGTTTTGTTTTGTTTTGTTTGTCTCCCCCCATGATAGTAGGAGTCTTGTAAGACTCATTCCCTGCTGTACCCTCAGATCCTTGAATACGCCCAGCACATGGTAGGTGTGCATGCAATACCCATTGAATGAATGAATGAATCTCTCATGTCTTAGGTGATTCCAACGTGGGAGCCAGGGGTGGGAGTGGTTGGTGATGGAGGAACTGAGAAAATGAGTGAAAATGAGCTAAAATTCTTGATTTACTGGGGCAGCAGTGATGAACATGTTAGTGGAAATGGAGCATTTAAATATGAGTGTTAAACATTTAGGGTAGCCACTAGAAGAAAAGAGACAGGATGTCCAACATCTAAAATAAAGGGAAAAACAGCAATGACAAAATCAATCCTACTGAAGGCAAGAACAGGTAGAGGAGGGGGAAATAACAGGAAAGCTTGGTGAGTAAGAAACAAAGGTAGACGGCAAGAGTACATCCAAATATCAAAGGCCAAAATAAACGTACATGGATTAAATTCACCTAATAATAGATTGAGGCTCTCAGACTGTATTAA